TCTGTCCATCCTTCCACTGTGAGAAGACAACACAACACTATAGCTGACAAGAAGCCCTTACTGAGAAATGAACATTCCCGAGGCAAGCAAAGAAGCTGCTGGTGTTCTCAGAACGCTGGACTGACCACCCAAGGGCCAATACCTTTACATCACCGAGAGTGTTTTTTGGGATCACTCGTGATCATGAGGTGCAGAAAATGCAACCAACCAATTCCAAACAGGAAAGAATGGAAATGATAATAAGGACAAATAGTGGGCGCACTAAAAACTGAAAACCCACATATTATATTTGGCTGTTGAGGCTTCTGTGTAATTTTCTGTTACATATGTTTTAAACTTTTGTTGTCCCTGACACTGAAAAATGAAAAACTTGTACTTAAATTTGACTAGAAATAAAATAATGGTCTCTGACTTTTGCACAGCACTGTACACACACACGTGTGTGTGTGTGTGTGTAAAGTTAATACAAATATGACATAAATGAAACAAAATAGGTAAAAACTGATAACAATTTGACATAAAATGGCTTGAAACTGACAATAATATGATAAAAAATGGGTTACAATTGATAATATGACATAAAATGGGTTCAAACTAATATTAATATCACAAAAATGTGTTAAACACATCATTTTTGAGAGTGAAACAAACTGGGTCTGAGTCAAAAGTTGATTCATTAATGATCAACAGTTTCATCAACAGATGAAAATTAAATTTTCTTTTGTTGTTAAATAAGAAATCTGTATGTAAATGTAGTTCCAAAGCTTTGCTACAGGCAATAAAGGTTAGGTCTGATGTTCTGTCCTTCAACTAAAGGTAAAAAAGAATGAAACACTGAAAACACTGAACCACATTTCCTATAGTTAGTGTTAATGCTTAAACACATGCTGCTGTATGTACCGCCCATCAGTAGTCTGCTCACATCTGTGTATAACAAGCAAGAGAGAGAGAGAGAGAGAGAGAGAGAGAGACATGTGCCAGTGACACGTCTCAGTTCAGCTCACCCTAAACACACTCTGCTACACCTCATCAGCAAGCCGCATGTGACGCTCCGCCACAGATGGTGCAGTCGTTATGAAAGCATCACACGCACACATAAACAATACACAAAACCAAACGCTGATGCCCCATTACATTTGATTGATTGCCCTCACCAGCTATCATTTATCTAAGGCTATATACAGTCACAATCACATGTTAGCCAATTTAGTAATCTTATTCCTGAGCAGAAAACGCAACACATTTCCCGCTTACTCTCCCAGTCTGTAACTGTGTTACCTTTTATAAATGTGTTTCTAGAACTTAAATGTCATTTCTCACGCAGTAAGTGTGTAAGTGTGTCGTAAGAGGGTAAATTAATTAAAACGTTGCAGGGTTTAGCAACAGCTGAGGCCTTATGTACTTCTCACTGGTACAGCTGGACTCTAGCCAAGTAAACAGCAGACTGCTTGGTGTCTACACACACACACGCGTGCTCACTGCCCACTCTCACACACAACACTCATTCTGTCACTAAGATTCTTCAGCAGTGCTGAACATTAACCTTCAAAGTGTAAAAAGGGTTTGCGCTCCCAAAACAGCACTACAGAAGGACATCAGGCTCCAATCAACATCTCAAACAAAGCAGGCTGCGCACCAAATCACAGTCACTCAATTTCCTTCACTTCTTTTAATAAAAGAGCTTGATGTAGTATGTAAACACTGTTAAAGATTGCTTCAGAATGTATTGTTCACTCCCCAGTCTATAAATGGACATTATGCTGCAATAACAGCCCATTTTGAATTCAATGTTTTGTGATGTCACAAAAAAACATTGCATTTACACGGCCTATAGCAGTTTAGCTCCACCCTGCAGAGGTTATAAGAAGTGTTTCAGCCCAGACTGCTTTTTGGATGAGGCACAATGCAGGGCAGCCAATCAAAACAGAGGCTATTTAATGTTACATAGTCTTAAAGGGGCAGTAACAAAAATAAATAGGCATAAAGAGAAGCCAAAATACATGCACACACACACACACACACACACACACACACACATCTTCTAAGCCGCTTATCCTTCTGGGTTGCAGGGGGAGCTGGAGCCCATCCCAGCAGTCATTGAGTGGAAGGCAGCTAAAAAATAGTCATGTAAAAATTAATTATGACTGATTTTGATACATAAACGTAGACAAATGTCATAAGTGAACCTCTTTGATGAAGTGAAACTGCGATTTTTCTGAAGCTGGGTATACACATTACAACTTTTCAAATCCTTCAAATCAAAGAAAAAAAAATAACAGGACATTCTGTTGAAGATGGACGTTAAGTCTGTGATGTACATAGAGAGAGAGAGAGAGAGAAAGAGAGAGAGAGAGAGAGCATCACAGACTTAATGTCCATCTTCAACAGAATGTCTTGTTATTTTTTTTTTTTTTCTTTGTCCCGAGGACATGCACACAAGACAAAAAGGCAAAAAGAGGATACAACACACATAAGTTTTGGCCACAAAAAGCACTCAAAACCCAGATCCTGCTGTTATCACCTGATACAAGAAGAGCAGGGAAAATGCAAACCAAGGATGAATCTTAAGAATAGTGCTGAATAGACAGAGCTGAAGAAAAAATTTACTACAAGCTGGCTGCTGACTTGTAATTGTAAAGAGAGTGATTATTTGACTGAACCGAACAAGCAGCTCCTCTGTCTCCATGGTCGGCTGCTCACGGCTGAGGTCATGCATGTCTCTTTACCTTTTTGCTCCACTCTCCAGGCTCTCTCTTTGGCTGTTGCCTGAATCACTCATTTACATTTCTGACCATCTCACACCACAGGACTCATGAATGTATTGAGTTGTAAAACTCAAACGTGTGAAAATATCAGAAGGCCACTGATCACTTCAGAGCTCAATCGGAAGGCTATAGGATGACTCATTACCCCTTCTCACAGTACCAGATCATCCATGCTGTCAGTCACTTCCCATGTAGCTCCCGACCTGGGAAATCTTCAAATTGTGAAATTTGTCAGAAAGGACAAATCAGGGTGAAAATCGGGCAATAACTGTGTGGCGTAGGCCCAACTTGGTGGATACTATTGTTATTTCGTTGTTGTCTAGTTGAGATCTGCCTTTAATAAAAATCAAATCAGTTTGTGGAAAACCAAGAAGTACAGAAAGACATTCAAGTGTTGACATGACCAGGTAAACTCCTACACTGATTTTATTTACTATTACATTTGTTATACATTTTGAGATGTTTATTTCTAATTGTACAGCAAGTCCCAAATCAGTACAGACTACTCTCAAGTTAAGTTCCAAGTCAGTACAGGCTAGTCTCAAGTCAAGTCCCATATCAGTACAGGCTAGTCTCAAGTCAAGTCCTGAGGCAGTACAGGCTAGTCTCAAGTCAAGTCCCAAATCAGTACAGGCTAGTCTCAAGTTAAGTCCTGAGGCAGTACAGGCTAGTCTCAAGTTAAGTCCTGAGGCAGTACAGGCTAGTCTCAAGTTAAGTCCTAAAGCAGTACAGACTAGTCTCAAGTCAAGTCCTGAGCAAATTTAATGCTATTTCAACACAAAACACCAAAATTGATGATAACGATTATAAAACCTATTTAATGATAGCAGTTAGGAGTACATTGTAAATGTTCTTCTTTTTTTTATTACCCTTCCACAATGACTAGTAGTACATGGATAACCACAGACAAAGAGTAGTGCAATTCACACGAAATAAAAAGTAAACAATACTATTGAACTTAGCACAAAAATGAGCAGAAGAAGATCATTTTGATCATTTTTGGAAGCATGTTTCAAGTTACAAGTCTTTTTTAATTTTTTGATCATCAAATTTGTGACTCGAGTCACTATTGCTGCTGACCAGTCACATATATTTGTAAGCCGAACATCATTATGTTCGTCTTTGCTTAGGGAGGTAAGTCCACCATTCATCCGACATTTCTGATTTATGTTTGATTTGGCTAGAACTTGGCTAGAATCATAAATAGGTTTAGCTGAAGAGTGAGAGCGACAGGCGTTTGAGACAGCCTTCAGAGACCACAATCAGAAAAGGTACATGGTTAACAAGCTCTTCAGTTCTAAGTCAGCTCTCTCCCTCTTTCTCTCCCCTTTTTCCCTGTAGTGCACACTTTTTTTCCAGAACACCTTTTCCCCCTGGCTCCAGCACAACTAAATATAGGGAGCTTTGCCGACAGCTCGAGCCGATAACAAATGGTAAGCAGAGCAGCTCCTTCCAAGCGTGACGGAAAAAAAAAAGTGGTGAAAATTTTAATATTTTGCCAACTCCGTATCCAACCAAAGTAGGAACGTTATGGACTTTACATATTTTGCCAGTTTATTAACATATCTTTTACATAATTTTGTTATATGTTTAAATGCATTGGGAATTTCAAGAGGGACAAAAGTAGTGCAAAGCAAACAGAGACAATGGAAGACTGACAAACCATTTGTGAACCATGAAGATTTTTAGCGCATTGCTATCAGAAAGAGAAAGAATAATTGCTTGGGTTATCTATTAAATTACTGCACTGAACGTTGCTGCTTCAAGGGTAATTCCTAGATGTCAATATCCACACAACTCATTCTATGTCAAATATAATTACAATCCAATACGCTTGCAATTATAAAAGGATGTAGACATTGTCGCCTCAAATACTACAGCATTTCTGGAGAGTAGTAAACTCTGCCTCGTAAAGAATGAAAACGTTCCTGGAAACGCCTAGACTGGTGCATGAGCACCACAGTGGAAAAAAGAAAGCCATCCAAGAAATACAGTCACAACAGCTGCCTCGACCGTCCTCTGAGCTTTCACAGGGCCAAACCACCAGGAATCTTCTGTTCACTCAGTTGTGCCTCTATCTAATTAAAATTTAAATTTTCCTTAAAACACTCAAACTAAAATTAACGCCCTGCCATTGTTTCTCCAACCATTTCTAAATCATTTACTTTAGCAGTAACAAGATAAGCACAGTCCAACACCAACATTACGTCCAGTTAAACCAAGCAGATGACTTACCCAATACACCCAGTCTGTAGTTGAGGGTGACCACAATGACATTGCCATAGCTGGCCAGGATACTGCCATCGATCATGTTCCCCGTGCCTTCCATGTAGGATCCACCATGAATATACACCATGACTGGTCTCAGACCATTCTCGTCGTGGATATCTGAAAAAGGAGACAGCAGCAAGTATATGATGGTTTAAGAGATGTTGACAAGAGAATTTGTAGTCCATGCTGTGGTCACTTATGGTGATCAAAAGTGTTAAATAGTGATATCCGTAGTGGGACAAGCAAAGCAACCCAGAGTACAACTAGAACTAAGTATTAAAAGAATATATTACCTAACAATGATAATGCGCCCAACACTGAATTGATGCTAGTGGGCACCAGTTAGCTTAGTCGCATTTGCATAATGCTATCACAAGCTTCCATTCATTACTCGCTTGCTTGACTAGCTTTCTCCTCCACGTAATCACATTCATTCCAGGTACAAATTGTCTTTGGATCAGTTCTCACTCTCAGATGTTTGATCCGTACACCGCAATGCAACGCAGAGAGAGATAAGGCTCAAACAGCGACTTCTCTCATTAGCTCGCTAATTCAGCCCTTAGCAGTGGAAGACTCCATTTAGACCAATCAGTGCCCTTGTAACACTCTACCTCGAGATGTGCGCTAATGTGCAGAGAAGGTCATTGTTTCCTCACATGAGTCGACTAGGCTATTTGCGATTTTCTCCTGCTCTGATTATACCGGCTGATTAGCAAACCTGGAGCTGGAAGCTGATTATAAATGAAGGGGTTGGCGAAACTCGAGACAAAATCACAGGTATCATTCCACAAATAGCCAGCAGGCTTCATAGATCATAGACGGCCGCTGCTGCTGCTCCTGCTGCCGCTGCTAGCCTCATTAGCAACAGCTCCTTTGAGTGAATACCTATGGGGGGGAGTATTGTAGGAAACTTAACCCCACCAAAAAAAAATAAAAAATAGGAAAAAGTGGATGCTGGGAATACAGAGCAGTACAGTATGATGAAAAGACATTTGCTGGATGGTGAACAGGCTATGTGTATCTCATATGGCCGTGGCGTCTACTGCTGATTATTGAGGCTTATGTACAAGCGCAGCAAATGGCTTCCCTGAGCTTGTGCAAAATGTCAGATCGAATGAGAGCAAATGCCACGAGGACAGGGTTATGATCATGGCTAGCTTATAGTGTGCGAGTAAGTGCCTATCGCTGTCACCCTCTGCGTGTTCTCTTTGTTTTTCTAACACTGTGCGGGGTATAGTAGACACCATTAGCTGTTAGCGCGCTAGCCACTCTGGCCCTCTCTGTGAAGTGGAGTCCAGCAGGGGTTAGCGCATTAGCACTAACGTAGCAGCATGACCCTGGTGTCTAGGGCTTTATCCAAGACCCCTGGATAATTGGCATTCAGGCAGCACAGTCTGTTACATGTGCCTTTGTTAGCTGCATAGGGTGGCCAACACACACAGACATGCACACACTCCCCAGCCCCTCATCATCCGCAGTGCCTTTGGGCAGGTTGCCCCCATCCCTCCATAAAAGAACAGAAAGAGTGGAAGGGGGATAGTAGAGATGGTGAGGAAAATTATACGTGAGAAAGGAAGAGAGTAAAAGAGTGTGAGAGGAGTGAGAGTAAGAGAGAGAAGACTGGAAAACAAGCCATTTTGACAGGTGATTAATCTCGGCCGAGTTTTGAGCGGGAGCCAGGCGGTACGCTAATGCGAGGGCATCTATTTCGCAGCTCTTTGCTACTATATGACTTTCAACGTCACCATGCTTTTATTATACTGGACCGTCAGCACAACATACTCTCTATTCACTCAAGCTAATGGCTCTGTCTCTTCTAGTGGAGATGTTCCACAAGGCCTGTTTATGCTAATCTAGCATCAGTTGCTTTTACCTAAAAACTGTAACTTCAACCACTAGCAGAAAAACTACTCACAGGTCAGCTTAATGTATTAAACTTGTACCAACAACGTTGCATTATAGGTCATATTTATTTCTCCTTTATGTAGTACAACCACACTTAATCAGTCATGTTTCCTCTATAATGGAGATGTTCCATAAGACTGGGATAAAAAATGCTATTTTATGCTAACCTAGGATCAGTTCCTTTTAACTAAAACCCTATTTACTAAAACTTTATTCACTATGCAAAATGGTCCCATATCAGCACAAAATCACAAACCTGGACCATTCCATCATACTTATCTTTCATTTAGTAGTAGCACACTCTCTTTTTTCAGCCAAGCTAATGGCTCTGTCTCCTCTAGTGAAGATATTCCACAAAGCCTGGCTACAAGTTCGTATTTTATGCTTACCTAGGACCATTTTCTTTTCCCTGAAGCTGTGAACCTTAACCATTGTGAAAGAAAATCTAGTCCAAGATCAGAATAAAATGACAAACCTGGACCTTTACATCATACATTCTCTTTCATTTAGTAGTACCACACTTTTTTATTCCGTCATGGTAATATCTCTGTTTCCTCTCGTGGAGATGTTCAGTAAGACTTGGGTGAAAAGATACTATTTTATGCTTTCCTAGGAACAATATTATTTTATTTGAAACCATCAAACAAAAATATAGTCCTTTACCAGCACAATACAGCAAAATTGGACCAGGATCATTACATCACATGCCATATTTATTTCTCCTTCATTTAGTAGTATCACACTCTCAGTCAAGCTAATGGCTTTTTTATCTCTGGTGTTGTTGTTTCACAAGACCTGGGAAAACTGTGCCATTTTTAGCAAACCCACCAGTTTTTTTAAGTAAAACAATAAGTTTAAGTAAACAATTACATCACACACCACCTCACTTAATAAACACTCTCTTATTCAGTGAAGCTAATGGTTCTGTCTGTTGTAGTGATGTTCCATAAAGCTTGGGTAGAAAACAATACTTTATGCTAACCTAACTATTATCTAAAACCTAACAATGAACAATATAAAACTGGCCACATTTCACCATAAAAATGACAAACCTGTACAAACATCATTACATCAAATACCATATTTATTTCTCCTTTATTTAGTAATGCTTCCCAAACTGGTCCTCAGGGTTTCAGTTCCCAACACATAGTGATGAAGGAAAGATGTGGACTGTGTGGCACGGCCTGAGGACTGGATTGGGAGCCACTGATTTACTACCACCACACTCTCTTATTCAGTCAGGCTAGCGGCTCTGTCTCTTCTAGTGATGTTCCATAAAGCCTGGGTAAAAAACAATACTTTATGCTAAACTAACTATTATCTAAAACCCTAATTATGACCAATATGAGAAAAAAAAACTAGCCACATTTCACCATAAAAATAACAAACCTGTACAAACACCATTACATCATATATCATATTTATTTCTCCTTTATTTAGTACAGTGGTTCCCAAACTGGTCCTCAGGGTTCCAGTTCCCAATACATAGGGATGAAGGAAAGATGTGGACTGTGTGGCAGGGCCTGAGGACTGGATTGGGAACCACTGATTTAGTACAACCACACTCTCTTATTCAGTCAAGCTAGTGGCTCTGTCTCCTCTAGTGGAGAAGTCCCACAAGGCTTGGGTAGAAGATGCTGTTTTGTTTTGTTGGGATCTAAAATCTTTAACTTTAACCATTATTAAAAAACAAAAAACTAGTCCCAGATCAGCATACAATGGCAAACCAGAACCAACATTTACATCATACTTACTTTGTCCTTCATTTAGTAATACCAAATTCTTTTATTCAGTCCAGCTAACGGTTCTGTTTCCTCTAGTGGAGAAATTCTGCAGTGCATAGTCAGACTATGTCACTTTATGCTAAGCTAGTATCACTTAAATCCCTAATCTTACCCATTATGAGAAAATGCTTTTGAGATTTTTGTAAGAATATTATGAACTTATTTAGCTTATTTGATTTACATTATGTTTTGTATGTGCAGCATTATCTGCCAATAGAATAAGACTTTATATACTAATCTTTATTTGAAGCTACTTACAATTTTAAGATATTTTACTTGCCAAAATGTGATTTTCATCCTCATCATTAAACAGCAAATATGCCATGCACTATATTTCTTTCCCCTTCATATAGAAGAACCATAGTGTTTCATTCAGTCACATGAATGGCTCCCTTTCCTCTAATGGAGATGCTCCAGAAGGCTTGGGAAGCCATTTTATGTTAACCTGGAGTCTCTTTCTTTAACCCCTACAAGAAACATAAAACTAAACCCATAAAATGGCACAAAGACAGCCGTCAGCAGACAAAGGCCAAACTGTACCAACACCATTACATCATACGCCATAGTTCTCCTTCATTACAATTTAGTAGTAATTTAGCGAGCCCTTTATTAACCACTTTGAAACATAGCAATGGAGCTTTGAACCGAGCGGAACATCTCAGAAACACATTAGGAGAATAGAGTGCTTCCATAAAGTTGTCAAAGTGCTGAAACTGATATGCATCTCGGAGCACTCAGCAGCAAGGCAGTCTAGGATGCAATTTGGGCTGACTATTACTACACTGTCCGACAATTTTCATTTGCTTGCGGGGACGCAGCCAATATCACCGCCCTGAGATCGAGCAGGGCATCCTTTCTAAGCTGCCGATGGCGAATGCAGCGGGGAACGCTAGGGACTTTGGTTCCTCGCAAACAAACATGATCTAGGGCGGAGGATGTAAAGGCACGGTGAAGAGACCCACTGTGTCCCAATGCTGTCACTGGTCAGCGGTTCACTAAGAAATAAAAATGTTCCTGTTCTCCTTCGCTCTGATGGCATTACGCAAGAGAGAGAGAGGGAGAAAGGGTGAGAGAGAGGAGGCATAGTGGGGGTGACTCTGCAGCGTTGGCGCCCCGGACATTCATCATTGCCAGGACAGGCTGAGGGGGATAATATATTCCCCTATGGGCTGAACGGCGCCACACACATTACTCATCTTTATATGGTGAGAGAGGGAGAGAGAGATAGAGAGAGAGGGAGAGAGGGAGAGGGAGTAGGGTCATCTGAATTTTCCATCCATTTCAGCAATTCACAAGTGTTAGTAGAGAAAGATGTAGATGGTTGTTAGTTTCCATGCAGGAGTTGCCGAAGCTTCGTTTGTGCAGCACCTAGCTTTCCATTGTGTCTGTTCAGCTGTAACCACCATCGTACACTGAAGAAAGCAATGC